TCACATTAGTTATGATCCCACTAGATTTTTTTATCCAAACATCCTGTCCACTTTGTTATTTCTACATTTCTAACCCCCAATTGCACAATATGTCAATGTTGTCAGTAAATATGATGCTACTTTGTTTGAGTTTTATCTGTCCCCCCTGTTTCTTATGGAATGTTAATTCCTAATTTCTAATTTTATTAATTTGACTCTTGACCGGAAATTATTCTGGAACTCTCCCACCCATTTATTATAAATACGCGAATGTACAGCCTAGTTGATGGTGACTTCGTCGAAAAAAATAATTCGTCATTACTAAACGTGACGAAATGCAGTGGCAAGCTTTCTGAACGTGCTTCATTTACGAAAAAGTGTATAACTTTGATCAGATTCTATCATTTAACTGTGTTAGTCTACACATTTCGCTAACGACTACTTTTTCTAGTAGTATCGTTAAGGTGCCTAAAAATCGGTCCAACCGAGTAAAGTGATCCAGTGGAAGGTGTCGTCTATGAGGGATTTGCTTATCATTTCTTCTGTTATTGAGCTTTACTAAAACAAAACCACTAGACTTCTACCTACTCTTGCCTACTCATCCTTCTGCTTCTGTTCAGACTTCTTGTTTCACATCTTCACGAATCACCACATATTGACAGAAGGTGTTTTAGGTAACTGTTATGCCTTCAAACACCAATTTTTAGTACTTCGTTGGCATACAAATTCCTCAGTATCTTCACTGAATCTAAGCTAGTAAAAGTTCCCAGAAAACTTTATCAACACAACAACTTCAGAAGATATTATCTGTGAGGTTAGCCTAACACTTGGTCGGTCGCTTTTCGACATAGAACTTTGCAAATATGTGCAGCAGTTCAAGTCGCCACACTCCCTTCATGTAGCACACAAAGCAAGAGAAGAAAGTAGGAGAAATGCATAATAAAGACAGTAAACAGAGGTGTGAGACAAAGGAAGAGTAATAACGAAGAACAAAACAGTTTCATTGGAAATCACAAGTCAAAAGGAGTGGATGCATCTGTGCCAGCCATTGAGAACAAGGATTTTGAGCCATGTCACCAATTGTTTCCAACCATTAGTTTTTACCGTTCATGTTTTGGTTTGACCACCGCTAGCTCTTTTCCAGCCTGGCCCTATATCAGCTAACATTGCCAGTTGAGGAAGGCGATGGCTAGCCATGCATACGTAACACATGTCCTAACCATCTCAGTCGAAGTAATTTCACAGTTTCGTCGATTGATTTCCCCCCCTTACCTAGCACTCGACGCCTAACCTCAATATTGCTCACCTTATTATACCACTTCACATGGTAGATAGAACGCAGACACCTTTGATCGAAGACAGCTAATCTTTTCATGTCTTCTGCTCTCAATGGCCAGGTCTCACAGCCATAAAGGAGTTGACTGGTGTCAAAATAACAGGGTGGTGGTGTTACTTATTATTTTAACTGAGTCGAAATAACCGGCTTCTGTTGTCATACAGACTACTAGAATGGATGCCTCATTCATGCCTTTCACCACGGCTTGATTCTACTTGCAAAGTGGTAGCTATCAATGGAGTTAGTTGAACAAACTTGCACTCCAATGGGTGATATTGTTTCCATTAAAACCTCCACCAAACATTCATAGTTTCAAATCTTAATACAACAATATGACTAAATGCAGAACACAGATTAGCTATTTCGTATTGTCCCCATTTAAAATGCTACAGCTCACTAGAATGCTGATGTATTCAACCGACGATCGTCAAACTTCACTGTTGGTCAAAGTTTGAATCGAAATATGTACTTAATTAGTTGAATTTCAGATTTTCCCGTCAAATGATTGGAGCAAAGTGGTCGGTCTCAGGTTGACATCCAGTTGACGAGTCCCAAATAGGACGAAATGCGCGTTGTCCTGGATTCCACTGTTAGTCACTATCCTCCATTAAAATGGAAATATGTAGTGTGTTAGTAGATTTGAACCGTCAAGCTGCAAGTCACCGATACAGTGCTACCACTAAATAAGCTTATGTGATTTAAAATGTCGATAACCGGCTTAATTTGGTTTTTAATCACAGACTACTGTCACGTTGTCAGACAAGGCGCCATAGTCAGTCATATTAGCTGTTAAGTCATGCATTCTCAAAATTTTTCATCTTATAAAGAATATTGCTATATCGACTACAACACAATTTTTCAGTTGTAATTAAAGAATAATTTCAGCGCAGATTTCGCCACGAACCAATAACGACTAGAAAACCAAATGAAAACCACAGAGAATTAGACAGTAGTTTCGTCCTTAATTGGAAGTCTTCAGTAGTACGCATCCATAAAGCAAGGAAACCTTCAAGGTTATGAGACCAGTTCATTGGCCATTCAGTTAAAGGGCTGGAATTCATTGACTTATCAATTAATTGCAGTATTGCTGACTTTCACAGTGTCGATCGAGAGGCGATTTGGAAACTAATTCGCTACCACGGTCGGCCACCGACAATTATACATCTCATCCAACAGCTGTACGACAATGCTGCATGCCAAGTAATCCACAACGGGAAACTTACGGAATCCTTCGAAGTGAGAACAGGAGTAAGACAAGCTGGCTGCCTACTATCGCCAATGATTTTCCTGATTGCAGTAGATTGGATAATGTGACAAACAGTGGGCAATGAGGAAACAGGCATAAAATGGACTCACACAAAAAACTTGGAGGATCTGGACTTCGCCGATGATATATGTCTGATTTCCCACAAACTGGAAGGTATGCAAGTGAAAAGTAACAAATTGGCAGAAGAAGCATCAAAGATAGGAATTTACTTCAGGTGAACATAGGGAAAACAGAGGTGATGAAGATTCCTGGACAAGAACAACAACAACAGCAACAACAACAACAGAAAATGATCAGCATAAATGGGAGGAATCTGAAAGAAAAAACCTCCTCTACCTACCTACTTACCTACCTGGGAAGCATCGTTTCAACTACAGGCGGAAATGACGAGGATATCAAAGCAAGAATCGGAAAAGCAAGACAAGCTTTCACTACTCTCCAGTCTGTGTGGAGGTCAACAATACTCAGCATGAAAAATAAGATCCGGATTTTCAACTCCAATGTGAAGTCAGTGCTACTATACGGATCAGACACTTGGCGCGTCATAGAGAGCATCTCAAACAAACTACAGACCTTCATTAACAGTTGTCTTCGCTCAATGCTGCTCAAGATCAGATGGCTGGCCAGAAAAGATCAGCAACTGAGATCTCTGTCAATGAGCGAACCAACCAGGAACCGATTGTTTAACAAATAAGCAGGAAGAAATGGAAGTGGATTGGCTGACCATACTCTGAGGAAACAATGCATCAAGTGACATCACTAGATAAGCCATTGCTCGAGTGGAACCCGAAAGGGAAGTGGCGAGTTGGTCGTCAGTGAGAGGGTGACTTGGAGGAGGTCATGTGAAGAGGAGATGAAAACATGTGGGTAGAATTGGAGCCAGGTGAAGACTCTAGCAGAGATCCGAACGCAATAGAGACGCACGGCTGAAGCCCTATGTTCCTCTAGGAATTAAAGGAAAAAATAATAATAAATAATTGCTGAATTAATAGTTTCAACACTGAAAATGTTGCATTCACCGAATTTACATCAATCACACCCACACAAAGTCATATTCATAAATTACTTCGGTGACGTCATTTGTTACAGACCAAACTTCTCTTTATTCAACTTTTAATTGACAGAAATACAAATTTAAACAAGTCAATTCAAATGATACAATAAAAAGCATTCAGTTAGAACATAGCTAAATCGTAATAGTAAAGAACGGATACCACACTCAAATAATCTTGATCCAATCAATGAGATCGCTCAGTATTACAAATGAATGCTTTTCATGATCTCCGTTGCAAGCGTGTTTCATCCAAACCCCAATCTTAGTTGCGAGTTTTAGGCTAACGCTGATAATAACCCTACCTTAATCCTCCTCTAACTTTAAACCTTAATCAGAGTGAAAAGCAACCATTTGTAGTGTTGAGTGATCTGATTGGTTAATTCAAGGTCATTTGGGTGTAGTGTCTATTCGTTACTGTTGCCAGCTAAATATATCTTGACAGTGTGGTATACGAGTAAATGGAATGCGAACTGAATGGCTGAATTGCTGCAGGATTAACTATTGAAGAACAATAAAATTGGTTAAGAGATTGTTGATTTTTGACTGTATGATAGATTATATCAGTTTCCGATTGGAAATCAATAATCTTCCAGACGAATAGTTTCCGCAACTTTTTAAAACAGTAAAAATATGTGGGAAAACCAAAGATTTCTGTTGTCACTTATGCAAGGTCTCTGCAATATATATATATATATATATCGTAAAAACAAATCTAATCCTTATAAACCAACTAATGAAAATTAATCTGATCCTCGCTAGTGACTTGTTACAGGACGGAGTTGCCTGGAATTCTAGTGAGAAGTTGTGACCAGTGAGGTCCATCTGGTCAAGTGTGAGGATGGATATTCCACCGATCACACTGATTGGTGCAAGTCACGCTAAATGCACCATGAATTGGTAGAAGTTAGAATTCATGGACTGGCTGTTGAATCGGGTCCCAATGGCTGAATGGTGTACGAGATTGCCTTGTAATTGGAAGGTCCTTGGTTCGAACGCTGGCAGTGGATGTGTATTGCCAACGATTCCCAAAACTAGTGGGATGAAACAGCTGGCTGTCCAGTACTCCAGTACTGGTTTTCAATGGTTCTCTAACTGATATCAATCCGTGATCGACCCGTAAAAACAAATCTATTCCTTACAAGCAAACTATTATTTTGGATTATAGCTTGATTCCACACCGTATTTTTGGTACAAATATGGAATTTTCAGCATGTGATATCAGTAGCCCAAATTTTGCAGGTCGACCAGTGATATCGAATGTGCGTCGGTAGGGAATCGAATCCCATAACATGTGTATGGTCGGCGAGAGTCCTAACCGCTGTGCCACCGACGCACATTGAATATATATAAATTAATCAACTTACGGTAATCAAGTATTGACAAACATCTCGGGCTGCTGATGTCAGAACGAAATTGATCCACAACTGATTTTAGAGATACCTGATGTAACAAATGAGAATCAAATAAGTGAAGCGTTAGTTATTACACATTAAATAAGCAGAATAGCTGACCTCACACAGACACACACAAATAAACATCAGCAGGCACCTCTTTGTCTCTCTCTGAGGATAGTCACTTTATACCAAAGAAGATTTTCCACCGAACTAATATAATAATAATAATGATTTGCTTTATTCCAAAACAGTACTTGTGATACAGAATGGAATTCTCAGCATTTTTACTATAGTATTGCATCCAGTTAGTACATTATCAATAAATACAATTCTACATAGATTAAGGAAATCTCAGTTCATTATAACAACAACATATTGACATGTCGGTAGCAAAGCCAAAGTTGAACAGTGTTTGAAGGTGTTAGAGAAGTAGGTGCTATCATATTTACTGGTGTAAGCGGAAGAAAGAACCAAGCAGCACATAACGGAGAAAAAGAAAAAGAGAGAGAGAGAAAAGGGAAAGAAAGAAAGTAAATGTTGTACCTATAAATGATATGAGTTGGAAAGACGAGATCCAGTTGTTCTACTGACTATTTAATGAGTTATAGGTGTCACGCCTAATGCTTTCTTTATCGCACAGAACACGAGCTAAGTAGGGTATGGTTGAGTTTTGTACTTGCTGGTGCGAGCATATAGTTTTCTACATAGGCTTCTGGTTTTGCCTGATGAGATGCAAGGAGAGAGTTGTGAGTGAAGAATGGGAAACAATGAGCTGGGTGTGGGTCCGAGTATGACATGTAGGAGATTGTGCGATGAAGGGGTAAGTGAAAGGATTTGGACAGTCGTGGAACCCGCTAAAGATGAAGTCTATAGAGAAACAGGATGAAACACAGATATCTTACTGATGCTCTAGGTTAAACTTGGACTCCAATGGGAATGATGATAATAATAACAATATCAGTTAGGAAGTTACTGAAGAACTACTTTATTCTGCCAGGAGTTTTCTGAGTAGCGTAAATAATTAACTATCTGAAGGATCAAAGGTATAATGGTTCAGTCGTAGAAAATACCCATGAGGACATTAGACAGACAAGAACAAGAAGTTCAGCAACAAAGATAACCATCTTTTAGGCGATTTCATTCCCAAAAGTAGATGTAAAATCGCATTGATATACATAAGTTTACCTAGATACAATTATTTTTTTTATTAGAGCTTGACTCCGCACAGTACTTTCGATACAAGTATGAAATTTTCAAAATCTGATATTGGTACCCCAAATTTAGCAGGCCGACCATTGATATCAGGTGTGATTCGGCCGGGGGTCGAACCCGGACTATGTGCACGGTCAGCGAGCACCTTAATAATAAAGAAGAAAGGAGATTAAAGGTGGTAATAATTTCCAGTTTGGTATGAAAGTTCTAAAGCGTGATTATAGATTACAAGGAGCTTACGAACAAAATTAAAATTGGCTACAGGATTTCATCATGAGCTAACATTCGTTAGAGAACCACTGGAAAACCTGGGAGTCCTGGACAGCTGTTTCGTCCTAGTTTGGGACTCTTCATCACTACGCACCCACCGCGGTTTGAACCCAGGACCTTCTGGTTACAAGGCCAGCGAGCTCGTAGACCATTAGGCCACTGGGAGACGATCCAATGGCCAGTGCATTAATTCTAACTTCTGCCGATTCACGACATAGCGCAACCACTAGCCAATGTCTTCGGCGAGTATTCGTCCTCACACCCGACCTGCCTACAAACCAATACTTGAATATCAATGAGATGCTAATTGGCGACTGGCCCTATTCCGGTAGGTAGTTACCTGGGGTTCTAGTGGGAAGTCGTGACGAGTAGGGTGCAGCAGGTCGGGTGTGAGGACAAATACTCGCCGAAGACATTGGCTAGTGGTTACGCTATATCGTGAATTGGCAGAAATTAGAATTCATGTACTGTTCATTGGATCGGGTCCCAGTGGCTTAATGGTCCACGAGCTCGCTGGCCTTGTAACCAGAAGGTCCTGGGTTCGAATCGCGGTAGTTGCGTACTGCTGAAGAGTCATGAACTATGACGAAACAGCTGTCTGGCAGTACTCCCTGTTGGTTTTCCAATGGTGTTCTAACCAATGTCAGCTCATGATGAAATCCTCCATGCAATCAAACAAATCCCTGCAACCAATACTTGAAAATTACACTTGTTTAGAAAATAATGGGGTTATGTGCAAAAGAGGTTTTTAACGAATACAAGTGCAAACGGCAATGAGCAGGGAAACAAACTGAAATATTAATAGTTTTTATAATTGAAGATCAGAAAAAATATGAAAGGAATGAAAAAACAAAGAAACGAAAACTAAGGAGTCAAATCGAATTAAATCCGTGGTAAATGTAGAGGTTGGATTAGTTTCTTTTGACCACACAGCTCCAGTTCTTCAATGCATATGGCGAGGGCTTCTTTAGTAAAAAGAAGTCAGTAACACACTACCTTTGGTAGACTTTTGTCTACTCCATAAATGCCCCTAAATGATTAGTCAGTTAAGATGTTGTGACAAGTGTTCTGATGAGGTGCTTATTACTGAACCAGTGCCTCCTCTTTGCAATCATGCTGAGTAGTTTTCTCCAGTACTTTTTGATAGGACCTGCACAAAACGACCTATGTACCTAGCTCATCACGTACAGATGAAGTGATATAAGCACACTGAAGCGGTCACTTGTAGAAGCTTGTGGATCACATTGCTTAGAAGCAGTGGGAGGCTAGAAAGTATCACTCTTAGAGTTGCTGCAGGAAAGGCATCTTTTTAGGGAACTGAAGATTTTCCTCTTACAGATATCTGCCGCCAGCTAAGGCTTTCCTGAAGTCCAGATTCAAATATAGTATTTTCTTTGGGACTGAAGTGTATCTCTCACCTTTTGTATCTATATAAACTTATGTAGTATATAAATACTATTGTACAGCTGCTTTTGAGAATAAAAGTCCAGAAAAGACAGTTGTCTTTGATGCTGAACCTCTTGTTCTTTTCTCTCTATTCTAATGCTTAGTACTTTAAAGCGATGACATGCATTCAGAATAAAACCAACGCGCCATAAGTTAACCAGACTAATACAAACGAATCATCTTTCAACGAGAAAGACAGCGGGTCAGTAGTCCGTTGGCTACGCAAGAGTTTCGAGTTCGTCTCCTGAAAAATGCGAAGGTTAAGCCTGAGGTTAACAACCTCATTCCGTTGAAAAAAACACAGCCGCTACCGAAATTGCACAGCCACCCAGGACGTAAAACAACTGAAATAAAAGTTCCGAAAATGATTCATTTTGTGTATAATCATAGCTTCGATTTACGGCATTCTATAGTAACTTCTGGTGCGTCGGTGTTACAATGGTGAAATACTTGCCATCCATGTATATGGCTCAAGGTTCGATCCTCGGTTGATGCACCCCTAAACTTCACTAAGCTGGTGATAAGATCGATTCAGAAAAGATCAGCAACAGGGATCCCTGGGAGCAAACCAACCCATTGGACACCTATTGTGCAACAAATATGCAGGAAGAAACGAAGTTAGGTGGATTGGCCATACTCTGAGAAAACAAGCCATCAACAAGTGGGTGACATCACACGCCAGGCCGTCACTCGAGTGGAAACCGAATGGGAAGTGGCGAGTTAGTTGGTAATCAGTGCAAGGATGAGGTGACATGGAGGAGAAGGTTGATGCGAAGAGGAGATGAAAGCATGTAGGCAGACGTGAACCCAGGTGAAAATGTTGGCAGAGAACCGAATGCAATGGATACGTGCGGTTAAAGCCCTATTTTCCTCTAGGAATTAAAGGAAACAATAATAATATAAAGAGGTAAGGTTGAGCATGAGATAGGCTAGCAACCCCACCGCAATAAAAATAAACACCACTTCTACCGAAACTTAAAATCTCCAGCCTAGAGCCCTATGTTCCATTAGGAACGTAAAGGCATAAAGTCTTAAAAAGTACAAGTTAGATGAATACCCTAGAAGTATAGAAGACCAATTATGCAAATTATCTTAGTGCTAATTAATTAACAACCTTTCAGAGAGCACAATAACACTAAGAAGAACTGCAATAAACAAATTATATGAAAACATTTCTCATTATCATTTACTCCAGGAAGTAAGTACACACTCACACACACTAGTTGACCTGAAAAACAACACCCCCCCCCCAGATTGCTGAGATACTTTGGTGTTGTTTTGTGTGTGTGTGCGTGCCTGTTTGTCCATTTTCGCTTATTAAACTAGGGGTAATCTTCACACACACACAAACACACACGCTCATTCACAGAGTGCGAGAGAGAGAAATATATGGCTATCACAGTGAGCAGTACTCTCGGACAAGAAAACATCTTTTTTATTAAGAAGTAAATATTATTCTGATCAGTGATCATGTTTTCCATCTTTTCTCTTCATTCTGGTGTACTTAACTAAGTTCAGTATTTTAAAGAAGGCCAGGCTAGTTATTAAGGGTAAGCATTTTAAAGTACTCAACCTGTAATCAATCAGGGACATAAATATATTTCAAGAATTTGTTTTTTTAAAACAATGAGTTCAGAGTTGTGTTAATTAATTAGTAAACGCCGTTTTTACTTGTACTTTCTATAAATTGAAGGTATTCTTTACTGTATTTTATCACCTTATTTTAATTTTATTCCTCTTGTGTTTTCTGACAGGAACATACAGTTTCAAGCTTGGACTTGGAAGTTTCACTAGCGGTGCCTTTATGTTTTACGGGGTTGAATTGTTAAGCTCACATCTAACCTTCCCTCTTTAACAGGCTTAATACAGGCTAAGCGGGATTTAGGAGTACAATGGCCAGAGGTCGACTGCTAAACCATCTGTGCGGTTGAAGAGCATTCTAAAACTGTACATAAATTCTTCGAAATGACAGATAAGGTTTGCAGAAGCTCAGAGTAGATGAGATTGGTATCAGAACAGAACGTAAACATAATAATAATAATAATTTGCTTTATTCCAGAAACAGTACTAGTGGTACAGTGTGGAATTTTCAGCACATATCTACAATATTTGCATCTA